AGTTTCACGGTAAAAAAAAATCTGTTTTTGGATCTGTTACAGCACTGAAAACAAGCGAGAAACCCATTACAAGGGTTTGAGAAGACGACATAAAAAGGCAGAGAAAGTACAAATAGCAATAAATACTACTTACACCATCAGATCATTTGGAAAAATTCAGAGCATTGGGAACCATTCAGAGTGTTCAGAAACATTCAGAGCATTCGAAACATTTGGAGCGTTCGGAAAATTTCAGAGCGTTCGGAAACATTCAGAAACATTCAAAGTATTCGGAAAAAATTCAGAGCATTTGGAAAAATTCAGAGCGTTGGGAAACATTAAGAGCGTTCGGAAACAAACAGAGCGTTCGGAAACATTCAGAGCATTCGGAAACATTTGGAACGTTCAGAAAGACTCAGAAACATTCAAAGCTTTGGGAAACATTCATGTAGCAACATTTAAAAAATGTTAGACGAACACCCAACTTAAAGGTTTCATTCAAAATAAACAATCAATAACATTTTAGAACATTATTTAAGACCAGATAACTTTAAACAAATGTTGTTTTAATGTTACTGAATGAATGTTTGTTCCCAACTTTGAGAGAACGTTCCCTGTCAGCAGAGAAGATCTTCACATTCACAAACTCTACGTTCTGTGATGCTCCCACCAATTTATCCAATATTATGGTAGCATATATTTAATCACTGAATGATTGCCATATTCATAAACCAACCTTAAATGACGAAACGTGGTTGAAATATTGTAACTTGTTTCAATATTGAAACAATATTTAATGCTCAATGGTTGAAGAAAGTACTTCGAAATCAATGTTGAAATATTAACAAGATATGTACACTGACCTTTACATATTAAAACATCTTCAAAAATCAATATATGTAATGTATAATAATGGTATGTATGTATATATATTATTCCTATATTTTGAGATATAATGTAGATAGCTCACGTAAAATATTATGTAACGTTATCCAGCCCATGTTTATTTTTCATGCAGATCATGCAGTCAGTGGTTGGGATAATTACAGTCTTACTCCAGAGAATACATGGCCATATAACCATGGCACCATGTCTAAACTCACAAACATTCTTAATTTTAATATTTAGACAATTATTAAAGCTGAATGAGAGCAGAATTGTGCAAAGACGCATTTCTGCATATCTACTTTATTCAAGAATGAGAGTCACGTGAAATCTAGTCATCGTTGGAGAGATCTTCAGTTAATTGTCCAGCAAGACATTATAAACTCTTACCTGAAAATATTACGACTGTTTCTGTATTAGAGTTCCTGCAGCTCAAACGCAAACGGCTGCTTTAGTTTTACACAAAACCAAAATAATATATCATATGAGTCATATGAACTGTTTTATTGCACTTTATCGTCAAAGTGTCCGTCCACTGAGCGACTGGGACGTTTTTCCTCTCAGAACGACGACGCGAGGGTGATTAAACAACGACAGAATCTGTATTTCTGTCAATTATTCTAATGCTTTAAGAGAGAAATAAGCTGGTATTAATTTCTTTCACTATAGTGAACTTTCTAGCAACACATCTGCTCGTTTGATTGATTCGGACCCATTCATTCAGTTCATAATTGTTTAGAGTTGGTGTGTTACGTCAAGTTTATTCTCAGCATGTGTGTCTGGTTTATTCTCTTTCTTGGCTGCAAAACAACTGACTACAAATACGAACGTATTGTCGTTTATAAAACACACCACAACATTGGTTTCTGCCAGATATACATGATCCATGTACAAGAATCTAATAAGCTCTTCTGTCCTGAGCTGCTTTAGTTTGTTTTTCTCAAGGCCAAATTCCTTCCATTAATCCTTTACTGAAAAAAGCATTCAATTGTGATCCAATACACACTAGTGGATCTGTCTGGATCTGTCTTCAGGGAAAATGAGGCCAGAAATTCACAGAAATCATGATTTCTCAATCAGAGCAGCTTGATTGTGTTGCGGCGGGTCAAGTCTGACTCGGAATACATTTTCAAACGGCTTGAAATACTGGTTAAATTATTTATTTCTTCTTGAAATTTGGTGGATATTTCTCATTTAGGGTCATGAATAAGCATGCAAAGTTTCAACACGTAGATGTGTTTTGGAAAGGCTGTACACAAATTATTGACCCCCATTGGTTTCCATGCAATTTGCCAAACGCCAACACTCTAAAAACACTGACGGGTCATGTAGGAAACAGAAAACCTTTATTTTAGTTTGTCAGACACATAAAATACATCAGAACTTATGAAATTTAACACTCAAGAGTGTACTCAAAATTGAAGACTTGTCTTCTGAATCGTCCGAAGGAAAATTCAGTGAAACTTAGAGTTTCACGGTAAAAAAAAATCTGTTTTTGGATCTGTTACAGCACTGAAAACAAGCGAGAAACCCATTACAAGGGTTTGAGAAGACGACATAAAAAGGCAGAGAAAGTACAAATAGCAATAAATACTACTTACACCAAGTATAAATAATATTAGATCATATTTATACTAGTCACTAATATTTAAAGTAGTTATGACAACAACAAAAAAAATCGATATTTTCTTATGTTGGTGCAGCTAATTTTGCACCGAAAAATATGTGGGTCAAATTAACCCCAAACTATTTCTAATTTCTCTCAATATATATATTTTAAGTCTACACTAAAAGTTTTCTGTTTTATATGAGTCTTTGTTTTTTTTCTGGAAACCAATGTGGGTTCATTTGACCCCCAACACAAAGGTCGTACCCGGTTTTGAACACAACAAGAGGTTAATCTTAACTAGTTGTGTAGATCAGTAAATCTTGATAGCAGTGGAGAGGGATCTACTACAGATGATCAACCACTAAGACAGTTTAAAGCTGCAACACAAAACTCTAGACACTTGATAGAAGGGTATATTATGAAAACATTGGTGTTTATGCTGATGGAATAGTTTACATTTACCCTTTAACTTAAGATTTAACCCTTAACCCATTGCATTGGTTTCCAGGAGCTATATCAAATCAGGTTCAAACAATAATAAACAGATTGTAGTCAAGTTTACTTTTAGCCCCAGCTATCCTTTTGGCCGTGTATTGTTTGGCAGTAAAACCATGGTAAGACCAGTGAACTTTAATAATGAATCTTGGCCCTGTTGAACAAAGTGCGCCACCGGGTGGTGAAGAAAAGAACTTCAAAACATTAGTTAAACACAAAGGCCTGGTTTCATAGACGGGGCTTAGCCTAAGCCAGGATTAGGCCATAGTTCAATTAGGACGTTCAAGTAATTTTTATAAACATGCCTTAGAAAAAAACATCACTGGTGTGCATCTTGAGACAAAACAAAGTCACTGATAAATTTTAAGATCAGTCAGTGCAAGTTTCTTTCATTTGAAACAGCTCAGACTTACATTTTAGTCTAAGACTAGGCTTAAGCCTTGTTTGTGAAACCGGAGGAAAGAGTTTAGTTTGACAACTTCATGTACAAAAGCAGAATGAGCATTGAGCAATAACAACAGCATTGAGGATAATCACATGAGACCATAATACTGCCTAACATAACATACACTTCCTTGAGTTACACCATGAACGTCGTCTTTAAGGCCTTTCAAAAGAAAATCAAGTTTTTGCATAAAACATAAATTACGGTAAATAAGACACTTCCCAAATCCAACCTTTTCCGCTCTAATTTACAAACATCCATTTTCACTCTAAATACACTCATGAACCATTCTTACTCTTCACACTTTCATGGACTCGTCTTTTCACTTACAGCAAAACAACTAGATACTCATACAACAGATGAGCATATTTCAAAATTATGGATTTCAGGTTGTGACCTCAAATCACGGGATGGGTTTGCTTCTTGTACACTTGAGTTTGATGTTCAAACCAACGCGACCCTGAAATTAGGGCTGGGCGATATAGCTAAAAAATGTATCAACGATATAATGTTTCATATCGTTCGGTATCGATAATTATTGGCATCTTTTATAACCTTTTTTTTTTAAACAAAGAGCAATAGAATTTTTAATTTTTTTATTTAACCACTGTACTTTTAAATAAACCCAACAACAAATATTTTTTGTTTTAACAATCACACACAAAATAAAAATTAAATATCTAATTTCTAATGTTTTATATGCAGATTTAAATAGGTCTTAAGGAAACTCTTGACATCCCGAGGCAACAGGAGGGCGAAAATAATGCAGCACATTTAAATTGTCAACGCAAGGAAATATCGGTCTATAAAAAACGTGCATTACGTCTAAATTAACTCGAATATAATTTCGTAAATTGCATTAACAATTATGAACAAAACAGCATCATGTATTTATACATTGCTAAATCACAGGAGGGCGAAAATAATGCAGCACATTTAAATTGTCAACGCAAGGAAATATCGGTCTATAAAAAACGTGCATTACGTCTAAATTAACTCGAATAAATTGCATTAACAATTATGAACAAAACAGCATCATGTATTTATACATTGCTAAATACAGAGCCGAAGCGCCGATCACACAGACTGCATTTAAAAACATAAGACGCAGCGTAAAGGAATAATAAACCTCTACAAATTCGTGACGTGTTTTCTAAAAGTTTAAACTGTTTTAACTTTGCATGACTTTCAATTCATCCCTTGTGTGAGACGCGGGTGCAGCAGTCGTATTTGTACGACTAAAAATGCGCTGAATATGCGTTCTGTGTGAATGGCTTGGTTTCGGTTTTAACCTAATCAAGATCTTCTCCGCATTGAGCTTCTATATGAATTGAATGAATGAATAACGCAGCAGCGGCGCGTCTCGTGGACTAGACTAACAAAATATTCAAATGCAACAACGTCACTAACATCATCACCACAGCATCTCGTGCTCCACTGATGACACTCACCTAACATTCAAATGCAAATGTGACTATATCGTGCGCTATCTCAAACATTTTTTCTATCGTTATTGAAGGTGTACCGTCGATAAATATCGATACCGTTTTATCGCCCAGGCCTACCTGAAATCCAAACTATATGCTGAAACAAATTCAGCAATTTCCTTATAACGTACAAACATCACTCGCACCATTCACCAGTAAAACGATCAAAGCTCACCGTAGCGAAATAAATTAAGACCCCTGAATACATGAGTTCAAAAACATCTGCAGAAGAACGCATTTAAAGTTATGGCGACTTATACATCAATGGGTTTCATTGCTGACAGCGGTCTTCCCTCTGTTAGAGGGTTTTTGGGTGAACCTCTATAGCAACTGGTATCATTTTCAGAAACATGAAGCAGGACAGACTTGGGACGCTCATTTGCTGCATTCTTATTGGCTGAGAGCGTGTCACGCGTTGGTGCTTTATTGGTGACGTCTTCCAGTGCTTTGACAGCTGCTTTCTTTGGAGGAACTGGAGGTTTGGGTTTCGAGGACATTTGCAAACCGCTCTCTAAACTTACAGCCTTTATCTGACTGGCGGCGCACCAACCCATCCTTGTGTTCTTCCGGCCTCCGATCAGAGAGTTTATCCTTCTGACGGACTGTCGGACCGGCGTGCGCTGGAACTTCAGAGGAGAGCGGAGCGCTTTGGCGTTGGGTGAATTCAGCGTCATCATGTTGAACAGTTTAATCTGGTCGGCAACTCTCATTCGGCGCGTTTCAGAGGCTCCAGGATGGTTCTGTGGCTTCTCCGCTTGATCTTGAGGACTGTTGGTCTTATCTGTTAATAAAAGCTTTTTGAGCTCGCTCGGCAGAGACGTATTGGCATTTGTTTGCGTTCTTGTTGCATACGGAGTTGATTGAACTCTGTTGGACGTCTCCAATCTGAAAGCCACAGGACTCTGGATGTCTAAAGCGTCGATCAGTTGACTGCAGTCTCCAGTGGCCTCTTTTAGGAAAGCCCTGCTTTCATTTTCAAGACAAAGAGACCCGTCAGGGCTGGTCTCCACAAACCGCGTCGATCCGCTGTCGAACAGAGCGCTGTCTATATGTAGAGGCGACAAATGAGCGATCTCGATTTGGCCGAATGTCACACTGTGATCATCCGAGTTGCTGGATTCAGACATCGACTTGTGTGAGGCTTCCGGAGGCAAACCCACGTCAGATGAAAGAACTTCAGAGTTTGCGCAGGGGTCGTCTTGCGGTTCGTCGTGCTGTTTAACGATGCTGTGAAGGTCACTGCAAGACTCGCCGAAAGCTTGTTTGGTTTTCAGTAGCGTGGGTCCAGTGTGAGAGCGTTCTTCGCTGAACGAATCCGAGGCGCTGCGGTCACTGGAGGCGCAGCAGAGGCTCTTGGGAATAACACTGCTGACCATCGCAGGTTTGCTCACGATGACGGTGGGCTCGGAGCGGTAGCTACTCTTCAGACAGATGCTTACGGGAGTCTCCGAGAAGGAGTCCGGTGGGAAGGTCAGGCCGACGTCAGGAGTGTCTCCGCTCCACGAGCTCCTGTGGTCTGTAGGATCACACTGCGGGGTCAACAGGTTATCCTCAGATTTACTGATGAACTTGGAGCCTGTGAAGCAAACGTGGACAATAAAAATCATCTGACAGAAAACAAAATATACACATTTATGTTTTTGGAAAGTCTCTTCTGCATTCATTTGATCAAAAATACAGTAAAAACAGTGAGATATTATTAAAATTTAAAATAACTGTTTTCTATGTGAATGTGTTAAACTGTAATGTATTTCTGTGATGCGCAGCTGTATTTTCAGCATCATTCCTCCAGTCTTCAGTGTCACATGATCTTCAGAAATCAGTATAATATGCTGCTCAAGAAATATTTTGATTATTATCAATGTTCTGCTGACGAAACTGATGCATTTTATTTTTCAGGATTCACAGATGAATAGAAAGTTCAAAAGAACAGCATTTACTTAAAATAGAAATCTTTTCGTTGTTTTCACGGTCACTTTTCATAAATGTAATTCATCCTCGATGAATAAAAGTATTATTTTCAGTCTTTTTATTTTTCTAAATCTTACGTTCACCAAAAGTTTGAATGGTATTGTAACGATTTCCACCAAAATATTCATCTGTTTTCAACATTAATAATCAGAAATGTTTCTTGAGCAATCAATTACAGTATAAATTGTAATAATATTCCACAATATTACTGTTTTTATCGTATTGTTGATTAAATAAATGCATATTTGGTAAGCAAAGAGACTTCCTTTTAAAAACATGCTTTTGACCGATAAGTGTAGAAGAAATAGGTCAACATGAAAAGGCAAACCATTTTGTCTTTCTGTATTGTGATGAATTTCCAAATAAAACAAGAGATTTAATTAGAAAAAAATATTGTAATCTGGAATGTGATTTTATCCATGTGAAATTAAACAGTTGGTCGAAAGTGTAACACTATAGAAGTGGACATGACGACATAAACCGAAATTTTTTTTTATTTGGGATGACGTGAATCGTTCATAAGATCAGAAACATCCATTAAAGTAAATAGGGTTAATTTAGATTTCATGTTGACTTTAAAAAAATAAGTAAACAAACTTCAGTATATTTATTAATTAGAGCAATATTACAGGTTCAGTACAAGTTCTGTCCAGCATCTGTGGCCTTATGATAATGACCACACAATATCACTGGCTTATAATGGAAAATTCAAGAGGTGGCCGTTGTACATTAGCCCACAGACTTCCACTGTAAATGCATAACCGTATCTAACCAGGAATATTCCTGCAGGCACAACCGCTGTTTTCAAAGCTGAAATTAGCCAAGCGTGTAGCAAAGGTTGAGGAATCCCTAAAGCGTGTAAATAACAATACTGACCTTTTGACGGGCTCTTGTTCACAACAGCCGGACTGAGCTCCTTGGTGAAGTGAAACCCAGAACAGCTCTCTTGTGTCGCTAGGCGCCAACCTATGACCTCTGACCCCTTTGGCCCCAGTTGTGAATGTGTAATGACGTTCTGTTGAAATAGAGGCAGCTGCTTTTTACTCTCAGTGGTTTGTGAGTGTTTGAGACGTGTTAAGAGAGAAGAAATACTGATAGTAAAAGCGTTTCTGGTCAATCGTCTTTTTTATTGGAGCATATATATACACATGCATAAAATAATGACCACGTCAGTAATGGCAAGGAATGACCCAAAACCACAAGGATACATTTTAATTAGGAAAATAAAAACTTATATTATTAATATTTGTTGGCACTAAAAACAACATATTATTATTCTATAAAAATAGCAGGTTTTTATATAAAATAATAAAACGCATCGATTCGCTACAGGAGGTCTTTGTTCACCCCCCGGAGCCGTGTGAGACACTTTTTTTTATTTTTATGGATGGGCGCTTTTTATTTAACTTATTTCGGACTGATGCCTGCTACACCCGCTGAGTGGCATTAAACAGCTTGAAAGATCAAAGACCATATTTAATATAACTCCGACTGGATTCATCTGAAAGAAGAAGGTCACATACACCTAGGATGCCTCGGGGGTGAGTCATTTGTGGGCTAATTTTCATTTTTGGGTGAACTAACCCTTTAAGGAATAAATTGAAGGGAACACAGTATGTCAATATGGTCTCTAAATATTAAGGTATTGTATTAGCAATACTTTAAAGTTTGAAAATGCCACTTCCTACCGATTTCCATTACTTTGATTCATTTTACAAAAAAACTAGCTTAACTATAATATATAAATAGCTTTTACGGTCTCTTCTGATGACACTGCAAAAACAAAACAAAAAAGTGATGTTCTTCCTCAATATGTTTGTCTTGTTTTCCACTGTAAATATCTAACGATTCTTAAATCAAGACAATTACTTAAGAAGCAAATTGACAGACGTCGTATTATTTTTTTGAGAAATTTATCACAATGAAGTGAGTTTATAATTAACTTCCAACGGGGTCAGAAAAAAAACTACTTAATTTTGTTCAATTTCTCAAAAAACAACACTTCATATAATTTAGCATCTCCAGTAAATGCATCTTGAATTAAGGGTGTTTAGACATTTGTACTGGAAAACAAGACAAAAATACTGAGGAAGATATACATTTTTTGAATTGCATGCAACATGTAATTGCCATGACTTAATGAACTGAAGACTTTCGGCTGGAATTTAAGAAATTTTTAAGACCCACAGAAACCCTGACATCACTGCAGCTTAAAGATGCAGCGAATATTTGAGGGCAAAATCCAGTCTTTTCAATAGGAATCCATGCAATCAGGAATTCTGCATGAGGCCGCATTCAGATTTCTTTCGCAACGGGTTCAAGTTAGTTGTGCGTATGTGTCACGTTGACCAACAGAAAGCTGCTTGGTTTGAACGCGACTTCTGTGTAAGCTGTGCTTCATATGTCGCTACACTATTGACAACAGACAAAGTACCTTTTTCCCAGCACCTTAAGCATTAGCTAACTAACTACATACACAGATATCATCGTGTGTCGTACCTGCTCACGCTGCGGTCTCGCAGTCGTCTGCTCTTCCTCCTAGCAGAGCTGCAGGACAGACGAGTGTTTCTGCCCACAGAAGACAGTAAACCGCTGTGAGACGAGTCCAGAGCTCCTGCCGCGCTGTGTGCTGAGAGATCATGCCAACAGATGATCACACAGAACTGCCCAAAAACACGCCACACAAGAGTCCTGGAGCTACAGCAGGGCATAAACCTCACCTGATCCGGGTGTAGATGCTCCTCCAAACAAAGTGTTCGGGAACAGCTCCAGGCCCAGGTTCTTCTTGATGGACCTGCGTTTCTTGCTGGAGAACCCATGAGTCTGTGCCGACTCCAGAGGAAGCTTACGCTTGGAGTTCGGAGTCATGATGACAGGAGTGGCTACGGAGAAAACTGAGGGAAAACACTTTCATTTACTCAACAACTCCAGTTATTATTGAAAGACTTTCACTTTGTTCCATACAGTAACGGTCAAAAGTTTGATAACATTATGATTTTTGTTTTTCAATGTTTTTGAAAGTCTCTTCTCCTCACCAAGATTGCATTTATTTGATCAAAAATACTATTATCATTTAATACAGCTGTTTTCTATGTGAATATCTGTTAAGCTGAAATGTATTTCTGTGATGCGCAGCTGTATTTTCAGCATCATTACTCCAGTCTTCAGTGTCACATGATCTTCAGAAATCAGTATAATATTCTGATTTGCTGCTCAATTATTGTTGGTGCTTAATTATTAATAATGCTTATTATCAATGTTGAAAATTTGTTCATTTTTATTAACTGAGCATGCTATTTCAGTTTAGAATGATTTCTGAAGATCATGTGACACTGAAGACTGGAGTAATGATGCTGAAAATACAGCTGCGCATCACAGAAATACATTACAGTTTAACAGATATTCACATAGAGAACACCTGTTTTAAATTGTAATAGTATTTCACTGTTTTTACTATATTTTTGAACAAATAAAATACAGCCTCGGTAAGCAGAAGATACTTTTTTCCCCGAAAACATTAAGAAATTGTAATTATTCCACTGTTATCCCACAATATAAATGCTCCGAGTACAGATTCAACACAAAAGCAAACAAAGCTAATTAAACAGAAAAGCCATTTCAAAGCAAAAGGTTCAGAATGACAAACAAAGCTTTGCGTGACTGACTGAGAAGGATGCATGAAAGAGGGCGCAGACAAAGCCATCATAAACTCGATAATTAAACTATTTAAAGACAGCACGTGTTCATTACATGTAGGACGTGAAGAGTGGAGTGCAGCTGATCTACATGCAGTGAGATCTGATCAGAACATTCACCCACCTGCTCCATCAGACTGAGGGGTATTTGTTGGGGTTCTACTAGTTTTAAACCTATTCAGAGCTCCGTTTACCATGTCTGGAATACAAAACAAGCCCACTCAACTAAAGAAACTCTGATTATATGCCTTCAAATCATTGTTAACTGTATCCACCTTCCTTCAAACCAGTCATGTGATGGGATTTCCCAAGAGCATGTTGTGATTTCAGTCATGGTGGTTCTTACCTCCTAAACTGCGTCTGTTGCTCTTCTTCAGGTCTGAGTGAGCGTCACTCTCTTCTAGAGACACAGACGACGGAGAAAACACTCCAGCATCACAACCCAACATGGCTGGAACCTTCTCCATCAGGAACGGAGGAACCACACCTTTAAACAACAGCTCGATCAGGTGGGTTTGCTTTGATGAGAATGCCTCCCATTGCGATTCACTGTATTAGCTGCTTGAAATGTACATCTACAGATGCATGTGTTTCGTATCAAAGCTTCAATCCCATAAAAACAACAACTATGCATTAAAAATAATAATAATGATGATAAAAAATTACGTCACATACAGTTTTTTCACTAAATGAGAATGATTTTTCCAATTATGTAGCAAAATATCAAAAGCTGTCAGTAGTTTGTTCAAGTGTCAAAAAGTAGTATTAAAAAAAAATCGGGAAATCGGGATTAGGCATTAAATAATGACTTCATAATCCTTCATGCATGTGAAAATGGGCTGAGAATTGATCAAATACTTGTAATCTGTGTTTTTTTGCGGATTAAGGAAGAATATAAGACTTCTTCACCTTACAAATGCTCATCGAAAGCAAAAATGCTACGAAATGCATCATATTTTGTGAGAAAACGTGACGTGAAAGAACAAAACGGAAACTATTTTTGGAATCAGCAGCTCAAAATTAGCGAGAAACAATACAATGCAAATATGATGCAGGGCTGTGATGCATTTACATCAGGGTTTCCCGAACTGGGGTTGATGAAAAACTATTAATTTATTAAATTGTAAAAATGTCAAATAAAAACATGTTTTAAAATAGCAACAATTAAAACGGAACGCCTAATTTTTTTTTAAAACTTTGATTACCTGCATGTGACCATTAATCGACCCCAGAAAACCATGAAATGTGTTGTTAAATTACTGAAATATTAACTTTAAAATCACAGAGGACTTCAAGTAAATATTGATTATATTTGACTACGGTGTTCAGCTGGTTTGGGCTGATTGACTACTTTATAAGAGACAGATAATAGTCCTAACCCTAACGTGCTTTAAAATAATGTAATTTACCGAAAGGCACACATACCCAGGTGTTGAGCGTTATCTATGAGACGCTGCACAACCGCTGCCTGACGCTTGAGTCTCTTCTCTGTGCTGCTGCTCATTTTTTCCCCTCCGTCTCCACAGTGAAAGAGATTGGGTGCAAAGATGACCGAGAGATTACTGCTGTCCATCTTATTCTCAGCACATCTGAAATAACAGAGCAATACACACACTTTACATGTGGCTCTTAACACAAAAGAGCCTCTAAGCAGCTTCTAGAAAAGAACTGCTATTCAGAGGGAAGCCAGCAATTAGCATAACAAGAGATTCGAGACAAACGGAGACATTGCTGCATTTGTCGTCGTACCGTTGGGAGACGCTCTTCAGGAAGCTGAAGAAGTAACGCAGTGTGTTTAAATTGCTGTCGGGCAGCACGCAGGACAGCAGGACCGTGGCTGAGGTCCTCTCCTCATCCGTGGGCAGCTCCTGGGCCTTCAGGAAAGCACTGTGCAGGTCAGAGGTCAGAACCGGCTCGGGAAGCTCCCGGAAAAACTGCTTCAGAAGTCCAGCGACGTCCAGCGGGAGAGCAGTGGACAGACAGTCCTCGCCCTGGTCCAGTTTGGCCTACAGGATCAAAACAATACGGTCGCTCTTAAATAATGCCACCAGTGAGAACCGATCCGGTGAGCCGAAGCGGAGGTCACTCACCCGGAGGCTCTTGACCCGCACGACAGAGCCTGACTTTCTGAAGAGGCCCTCTGTGTCCAAATGCTCCAGGAGGCTCGTGCAAACATCTGCTATAAAGCTGACAGATTGAGACGCATTAACACTACATACACACGCAGAGCAAATAAATAATAATAAAATATAAAATACAGGGCAATATTTGGCTAATACATCAAATCTAAAAATCGCATAATACAAATAAACATAAAATAAAATAAAGGGCAATCAACGGAAAATACATAAAATGTAAATATAATTAAAAGTAGGGAATATACACAATAAAATTTATAGCAAATAACAAAAAATGTAACGAGGCAAATATTACAAATAAATAAAATACAGAACAAATAAATATTAAAAGTGTGAAATAAAATAAAATAGAAAATAATAAATAAAACCAGGAAATAATGGGCCAATAAAATATAAAAAAGAAAATACGGCAAATGCATAAAATATAAAATAGTAATCAAATATATAGCAAATAAATATATAATAATAAAAAACAAAAAATATTTAAATACAAGGAATTATAGGACAAATAAATAAAATTATATTCATTTACTCTATAATAAAATAAAAAAATAACAATTAAAAATAGGGACATATAGGTGAAATAAAATGTAAAAATAATAAAAGAAAATAGAGGGCCAATACATAAAATATTAAATAATAATAAAATACAGAGCAAATAAACATCAAATAGTAAAAAAATATTGGGATATATAATAAAATGTAAGATAAATGCGTCCATGGCATCAAGCAAAATATTTATATTAATTTGTAATTAATTAATTAGATGTTCTGCCATTTACATTTAGCTGATGTTTCTTTTTATGCCATGCTTGACCACATTCCAGGGATAGTCTTTCGTAATCTTAGTCAGGACTGTATTTTAGTGCAATGCATGGTTGATCCTCGAGGATCAATCATGCATGTGTCCATCAGCTGCATTGCTTCTGGCATCTAAAGCCATTCACACCAGAGGAACTGCTGTGGGCCCTTTACACATGCACTCAATTGCTTTTAGTCTTGGTTATCTTCCTTGGTTACACAATGTATCGGGTCTATAGTACATCTATTAAAAGGCATCTGTATGGTCTTACCAGGGCACATCTCCGTAGTCTAGCACAGGACAGTGCGGCAGGCCTTCAAGAGCAACCCCAAACACCCTCACCTAGAAAGACAAGACAGATCTGTTCAGGTGAGAAGAACATGAACAAGAGAATCTCTGTGTGCTTGAAGATCAACAGCATTTGCACAGAGCTGAAGAAACAACGGCCAGACTGTCTAGGGCGCAAATTACTCTCATAAGACCAGAATCAAACTGATGCAGTGACCGTTTCTGTAATTAATCACATTTCCTTCTGTGATTGTACAGCAGTGATGGGAAGCTCGGATCATTCTACCGACTCGGACCTTTGAGTCTCGTTCGAATCTTTCATTTCGTTCATTCTAGAAAAATCTAATTAAAACGTTACGTGTTACTTCCCTAACACGTCTACTACTTGTGGGGCTGTCACGTGATGAACGAACGACTCGGAAAAACCCGAAGACTCGAACCAGGTACAGAACCTATAGGATGCTGCGCATGCGCGACTGAACGAATCACTCCCCGAGACGACTCGTTCATCCCGAGTCACATTAAAGATTCGTTTCAAAATGAACGAATCGTTCAAGAACAACCCAACGCTAATGTACAGCCAATAAACCACATGCACAAAGTTTGGAGTGATCTAACGTTATCTAAACAGCATTTTGGTGTTTGTATATTTCTGTTTATTAACGAATGTGGCATATATACAGCATTTTGTGAATGTTTGTCTGCATAGTAAGCTGACTGACATTTGAGACACCGCCGTAGATGGACAGTTTTCCACGATAAAATCAGCATTTCGTGATGTTTTACGAACTCACCGTGTTCAACGATGTCTGCTTGTTTCTGTTTTTGTTCCAGTTTTTGATTTTTATTCCATAAACCGAGCGAAGATGCTGAACGACGGCCAGACGAACCACATTTCGCTCCAAAACCTTCATTATTGCGGATATAAACGGCTGGATGTGAGAGGGAATACGCTAAAAAGGTGCTTTCGGTTTAAAAACAGGCGAAATACAGGTTTTGGGTGTTGAACACACAAACTCTGACGGCTAGGCTAACGTTAGCTTATTCCCCTCAGAGCTCCGCTTGACGCATTTCAACAAAAACAACCGATCAAAGTCACCAAACTCCTCTCGTATTTAATCTCCCGGCTCTGCTGCGCCTAAACCTCATCTTATACAATAAAGCAACGCCTTTTAAAGTCTAAAAATCGCCTTAATAAACCCGGTGTTTGTTTCTGTGTCCGCTAAACAACGGCAGCTCGGAAAAACAGACGTTCAAATTTCGCCCTGCCTACGTCACGGAAGCGCTCCCTGCACTCTGATAGGCTCGGGATGAGTCACGTGAGGGCTAGACACGCCCCCTCCGCTGTTTCTGACCAGCAGCATAATATCACGTGCCTTTCACGAACAGCAGTAGTGCCATAGAGAAACATGACTGAAAAACATTTTTATATGGTAGTAGCGATATTTTACAAAATATTTTATTTATATACTTCATGTTGTCTTTTACGCGATACTTAAAAGTTCTTCAAAGAATACCATGGTACTACCACCATATATTTCTCATAAAAAAAAAAAAAAAATAAGTACAATGTACAATTATCGTAATAAATAATTATTTTCTTGCAATTCTTGTGAGTTTATATGTTATAGTTTCCATCACAGAATAAATAAAATAAAAAAGAGCTAATTCTGACTTTTTATCTACAATTCAGACTCAGAATTGCTAGTTTATATGTTGTAATTTTTGATCCAGACGCATGATGGCGTGGGGCAGAGCGTAACCCTCGTAGACGGGGACGTTGTGGGTCACACCGTCACCGGCGTCCAGCACGATACCTGCGGAGGACACACACCGTGAATCACACCTGCTCTGCTCATCTGACACACAGCAGTACAGTTATCGACGCGCTAGTGAGAAATATACAGGCCTAGTCAAAACATATAAACCCTAAAGGAAATGCTATAAGAAATTTTTACATGATTCCAGTCGGAATTTCTTTCATAATTTGGAAACATCACTAAAAGATCATACTGGGAATCTGGGTTGTTATTGTTAACTAAAACTAAAACCATAAAAAAAAGAAAAACATGTAATTGATGTAACACACACACACATATGTATATATATATATATATACAACTTATTTAATCTAGTTGCCAAGGCAACATTTACCATTTTCATTTTGAAGTAATAAAATAACTAAATCTGAAATACAGATGAATGAAAACTATATAGTTATATATATATATAAACATTAAAAGGACATAAAACAACAAAATTACTAAAACTTTAACTAAAATGAAAAGGAAAAGGAAGACAAAAATACAAAACTAATAAAAAAACAACAACTAAATTACTAAAGCTTTAACTACTACTGAAATGAAAACGGAAAAATAAAAACAAATTCAATATATATATATAAATATAAACTAATAAAAATGACCAAACACACAATATAATGACTAAAACATTCACTAAAATAATGGTCAAAAATAAAAAAATTCAAAATATTACTGAAAACTATAAAAAAGTGTATATGATAATTCTTATATGACAAAACTTAAATAATTAAAAAACATGTTTCTGCATATGCTGCCCCTGCAGGACATCACAGGCAATTACAGTGACTCTGAATCTGATTTTAGCTCTTAAAGCAAGAAACTATTCCAATGCAAAGAGTCAAATTAGAGATTCTACCAGATTTGCATGATCCAAAATATGCATTTATGTTTTAACTATAATATTGATTTGGCTCTTTATTATAAGAGAATGTGTGTTAAAAGCACTCACCAGTGGTACGTCCGGAGGCGTACAGGGACAGCACAGCCTGGATGGCCACGTACATGGCAGGGACGTTGAAGGTCTCAAACATGATCTGCAGGAGCAAAGCAGGCGAGTGTCATGAAGCAGTCTGACTCTGTCTCTGAGAAGCCATCAGACTCTACATCCGTACCTGAGTCATCTTCTCCCTGTTGGCCTTGGGGTTGAGAGGGGCCTCGGTGAGCAGGGTTGGGTGCTCCTCAGGGGCCACACGCAGCTCATTGTAGAAGGTGTGGTGCCAGATCTGAACGGCACAGATGACTGTGTTAATCACAATGCCAGATGCATGCATTTAACGATAGAATTCGACTAAAAATCGCACCTTGTCCAATGCGAGATGCATGCATTTAACTATAGAATTCGACTTTGATTGAAAATCGCACCTTGTCCAATGTAAGAGATGCATGCATTTAACTATAGAATTCGACTTTGATTGAAAATCGCACCTTGTCCAATGTAAGAGATGCATGCATTTAACTATAGAATTCGACTTTGATTGAAAATCCCGTACCTGAGTCATCTTCTCCCTGTTGGCCTTGGGGTTGAGAGGGGCCTCGGTGAGCAGGGTTGGGTGCTCCTCAGGGGCCACACGCAGCTCATTGTAGAAGGTGTGGTGCCAGATCTGAACGGCACAGATGACTGTGTTAATCACAATGCCAGATGCATGCATTTAACGATAGAATTCGACTAAAAATCGCACCTTGTCCAATGCGAGATGCATGCATTTAACTATAGAATTCGACTTTGATTGAAAATCGCACCTTGTCCAATGTAAGAGATGCATGCATTTAACTATAGAATTCGACTTTGATTGAAAATCGCACTTTCTCCAATGCCAGATGCATGCATTTAACTATAGAATTACAATGCGAGATGCATGCATTTAACTATAGAATTCGACTGTGAAAATCGCACCTTCTCCATATCGTCCCAGTTAGTGATGATGCCGTGCTCAATGGGGTACTTCAGGGTCAAGATACCTCTCTTGCTCTGAGCCTCATCACCTACGTAGCTGTCCTTCTGACCCATACCCACCATCACACCCTGATGGAGAGAGAAGCGTGATTAGTGACCCTACCAGGAGAGGATCTCCTCTCTAATGATTGTTCTGCAGCTGTGTTCGCACCTGGTGACGGGGCCTGCCAACAATAGAGGGGAAGACAGCACGGGGAGCGTCATCTCCGGCAAATCCAGCCTTGACCAAGCCAGAGCCGTTGTCGCACACAAGGGCGGTAGTCTCCTCGTCGTCGCACATGGTTGGTTTTCTGGTTGGTCTGTGAAGGAAACATCACACTACGGTCAGAGACAGAGACGCAGAGAGCAAGAACCGGAAGTCCTGATAAACACGGTCGCTACACTGAGTTTACATCCTGAGGCCGAGCACATAAACCAGCTAGACTAGTCTTAGAAGTTAGTCGTCTAATTGGTTTCTTTTCTGACGTCAGGTGCATAAAAATTGTCTAATTTGAATCCAAAAAGTAAGACAGATTAAGGATAACCGCTATTTAGAAAAATAAATTTCAGCTATTTGCCAAGGCAACATTTTGTTTTGAAGTACCAAAATAACTAAAACTTAAATTAAAATGTATAAAAACTATATAGACATTTAAAAAAAATAAAATAAAAATGACTAAAACACACAATAAAATTTGGAATAAAATGGAAAAACAAAACCAAAACAAAAAAGAAACTGAATTCAAATATAGAAAAACTAATAAAAATGACAAAAGCATCAAAATTACTAAAACTTAAAGTACATTTAAAATTAAAATTGAAAACAGAAATGCAAACAAATTAAAAAATATTACAAAAATTATGAAAAATTATGTTAAACATATTGAAAAAATTATAAAAAAGACAAAATACAGCAAGATTACTAAAACTTTAGCTAAAATGAAAACATAAAAAAAGGATTAAAAATATTTTAAAATAAAAATTACTAAAACTTTAACTGACACTAAATTGAAAACGGAAAACATAAAAAGGAAATAAATATATATATATATATATATATA